AATGCTTTGGAGTCAATTATAGGTTAGGGTTTGAATGTACCCAACTTTGTCAGTTGAGCTGGGGTTTCTCTGAAGACTTCCTTTCATCTTCCCATGGGCAGTGTGTCAGAAGTATTGCTAGACTGAAAAGGGCCTAACTTGTTTTTATGGCTTCAAAAGGAATGTGCTCACTGATACTACAGAGTGACAGTCCGGTTTCTCAGCCAAAGCAAAGAAGAACATATTGGATTTAAGTAAATTAAATATGAAAGGGATATGTTGAGGAATGTATAGCTTTGTCTTCAAATTCCACATTTTGGAGACTCTGAGAAGTGTTTAACAATATAAGTCAAAGAGTAATGATTTGTTGGTAAAACAAGACACTTTTCTAGCAATGTTCCTTGGCACCTTATCATTTTATGTATTCTTACTATTTGTGTAACACTTGCATAAATAACCTAACTCAACTACAATAAGAAATCCTTCCATTTAGCTCTAGGGATGGAAGAAAAAAATAACGGTATTGTATAGAGATATATACAGGGAGGAAAAGTAGATTTACAGTTATTCATGTGGGAAGACATGCAAGTTGTAATCATTACAACAGCTTTATTAACTGTCTTTATTAAGAATATCACAATGGCTGATGTGGCTCATGGTAGACTCGCAGGCGTCTTCAAACTACGGCCCGCGGGCCACATGCGGCCCACAGAGGAGTCTGATCCGGCCCGCCAGGTTTTGGGCAGTGAGCGCAGCCGAGGTGTTACAGTAGGAATTAGTAGTTCATATAGTCCGGCCCTCCAGCTCTCTGAGGGACCGTGATCTGGCCCCCACTTTAAAAAGTTTGAGGACCCCTGTGAGGATCAACTTATGCACCAGGAGGTCATGGTTCTATTCCTGGCCAAGGCCCATGTCCAGGTTATCACCTTCATTCCCATCGATGGTTCTCTCTTATTGTTTCTAGATCTCTCTGTCTCCCCCTCTGAAATCAATAAACGTAGATTTTTTAAAAATGGCAAAATGGCACAGTGCACTTAGGTACAATCTCATCATTTCACAAATTGCCAGCCTTCATTATTTACACATTCTTGCTGTACTCAGGCTATATTCAAGTACGTTTTGGCATGGGGTTCTTTGCAAACTTAGTTTTGTCCACCCTGCATGTGTGTGAATATACAGAGAGAGTGGAAAGAACTAAATAGACATAGACATTTCTTCCTAATTTTTTGTCTCAATTAGTTGATTATTTAAATACAAAGCATAAAATTTAAACAATTATCTTCTCCTTTCACTCCCCTGTATTTAGTGTGTGTGTGTGTGTGTATGTATATATGTATATATATATATGTATATATATATATATATATATATATATATATATATATATATATATATATCAGAGAAGAAGGAAAAAGGAGAGAGATTGAAACATCAATGGTAAGTAAATCATTGATTGGCTGCTTCCTGCATGCTCCCTGCTGGGGATTGAGCCCTAAACCCAGGCATATGCTCTGACCACAAAACAAACTATGCTCTCCTGGTTCATAGGCTGATGATCGACCTCTGAGCCACACTGGCTGGACTGTGGCTTTTTTTTAAAGTTAATGTTTACTGTCATGTTATAAAAAGATACAGGAAATTTACTTTGTTTTCTATTTAACAGCTGCATGGCCATTAATATCAGGGGCTAACCAAATAAGAAAAAAGCAGGTCTGACAGAATGCGATAAAAGGAAAAGTGGCTTTATTGACAGCAAGGAAATCCCATTATTTACTTTTATCCAAATATGAGTGTATATTCATATTTGCATATGTAATATTGAGTACTTATTTTAAAAAGACAACTTGACTGCTGGTTAATTTATATCATCTGTATTTTTTACTTTCATTCCTTTACTGAGTAGCAAAGGGTAAGATGAAAATGTTATATCATTTTTTCCCAAGGAATCTCTGAGAAATTTCAGCCAGCATTAAGTGATCATAAATGGCATGATGGAACAGAAATAGTTCTTTGACTGTCAGCAGATATTTAAATAACAAGAATGCCATCTAGTTATAATGGACTCCTTTAGAGTTGATGACACTTAGAGAACAAATGGAATCAGCCTAGAGTCACCTATTGCAAAGCACTGCAGACCATAATAGTTGACATGAAAATGACTCTTAAAACTTTCGGGATAATAAACCTTTGAGCGAAAATTCTCATAGTGACTCCCAGAAATATAGAGCCAACAATTTTCCCATAAAGTTACTATATTTATGATCATCTCAAGAGACTAAAATACCAAATGTAAAAGTCCTACTGTGACTGGCCTTCCTATTAAAAGCCAGAGAATGGAAAACAAGAGGCAGACGAGTAAAGGTCGTATTTACATACTCAGTATTTATTTTAAATCACCATTACATTATGTCTTTTTATTCTTAATGACATGATCCTAATAATCTCTATGTAACTCCTAAGTTAATAAACAGTAAATGTTTTATTGAGTACATTTTACTTGTGGTAGTATCTATGCAAGTTACGGACATTAGAAATTTAAATGGGATATTCTTGCTGTTCCTAAGTGTCCCTCATCAGTGGGAGACATGCCTGTTTAGATTAATAAATAAATGTGACATACTGGCAGATACGGAAGACAAGGGCCTGTGAAATCATGGATGAAACAGCATCATACAGTTAGAATAACAAGGTAAGATGCCTTGAGGAGGGAGTATTTAATTTTGGATCTTAAAGAATAATGGAACTTGCTGTATAGAATGAGTAATAACATACTCAGTCTCAGAAAAAGGATATTACATGTAATTTTAGTTAAACTGGCTTAATATCATGATTAAAAATTAGAAACTATCTTGGAATAAACAGAAATCTAAAAATATTCTTTGTAAATAGTATGTCAGAAAGAATGGTGTCATCTCTTATATTAATATTTAAAATTATTGATGTCAGTAACAGTGTCTGGTACAGTGCAATACTCAATATATTTGAAGAGTATATAACCCTATTGATGAAATTGATTTTGCTTGGTTACCCTAAATGTATTTTTTTAAATATATATTTTATTGATTTTTTTACAGAGAGGAAGGGAGAGAGCTAGAGAGCTAGAAACGTCAATGAGAGAGAAACATCGACCAGCTGCCTCCTGCACACCCCCTACCGGGGATGTGCCCGCAACCAACGTACATGCCCTTGCCCGGAATCGAACCTGGGACCCTTCAGTCCGCAGACCGATGCTCTACCACTGAGCCAAACCGGTTTCGGCCCTAAATGTATTTTTAATAGACTTTACTGTTTAGAGCAGCTTAGATTCAAAGCAAAATGTCATGGAAGGTATAAACTTTTCCCACATACTCCTGCTTACACATACATAGCTTTTCTACTATCAAAGTCACTCATCACAATCTTTTTGATTGTATTTTTTTTAACTTTTTAAAAATATATATTTTATTGATTTTTTTACAGAGAGGAAAGGAGAGAGATAGAGAGCTAGAAACGCCGATGAGAGAGAAACATCGACCAGCTGCCTCCTGCACACCTCCTACTGGGGTTGTGCCCGCAACCAATGTACATGCCCTTGACTGGAATCGAACCTGGGACCTTTCAGTCCTCAGACCAATGCTCTACCACTGAGCCAAACCAGCTTTGGCTTTAACTTTTTTTAAAAACAAGGATTAACCAGCAATGGCACATCACAATCACCCAGAATTTATAGTTCATGTATAGTCCATTTTCAATATATTGAAATGCATAACTCAAGCATGGAGTTAATACTGAATATGCATTTTTTTAAACCCAATTAATTTATTAAAATTTTAGGTATTAAGAATAAACCCCCATTTAATGCTACACTCCTTTCCACTCCAGTATTGCTTTAGGGTTCAGTGAATTTGTAGAGTTAAATTGTAAACTTTAACTGATATAGGAGGATAATTCTGAATCACATTGGCATCATTTACCATTGCATGCCCAACAACAAATATTACTGCTCACACAAATTCCAAAAATCAAGACTGGGTTAACTTGTAGTGAATCAGAATGCAGATATGTAGAGTGGCTCTGAGGAGTTAAAATAACCCCAGAACCTATGCCTTGTATTTAATGTATAAACATATGAATGGAAAGTATGTGTCAGTTAGAAGGAAGGTTGATCCCCAGTAGAAGGGTACACTAAGTCACAAAGTTATACTGGAAATAATGTTATTTTTGTCTGCTAACTCTTTTGTATTATTATGATGACAATAGCATCATTTTTTAAAATTTTAAATATTTTGTAATATATAGTTATATGATTGCTAAAATTATCTTAATTAGAAATACTTAATGATGGTTAATCTTTGACAAAAGACATAAGACAAATATGGTATCTATTTTATGTACCTCATTACCTGATTTTCTGTTCTTTCAAACAACACAGACTATAGTAATTTCAAGAAAATTCAGTTTAACATATGTATATATTTGGTAATAAAAACCTAGACATAGTAAACTAGTTAAAAGTTAATCCCTATCTATGCGTTCTATAATAACTATATACTTTTATTAGTTGATAAACTTTTATTCACATTTCCCAAGAAGTAAATAAGTTGAACCTACTTAAAAATACATAATCATTACTTATCTAACTCAACTTCACATTTTTTTAAAAATGGGAATACTTTAGGAACAATTGCTGGGAACATTGTCCCTATCTGTGAAATACAACACAAAGGGTATAATTCAAGAAATATATTTAATCTGAGGTTTAGTTATATTGAAGCAAATAAGTACCAAAGGCACAGAAACGGATATTTAATTCAACAACTGACTAGTTGGTTTTCAGGTTTCATTCGTTAGTTAAATTAGGTTTTCTACCATAGCATTATTTACAGTTTTAATTACATAATAATTAGGAATAATAATAATAATTATTAAAATAATTAGGAATACAACTATTTAAGCTAGAATTGAATTCATTATTTCAGGTAAAATATATTCAATTAATTAAAATGTGGGATCGTTTTTATGAATATAAAGAATAAAAATCAAAACTTACCTGGCAGGGGAGATACCAGGAAGGTGGTTTTTTCAGGGCAGGGCTTATCCATTGCACTCCAAGTGTGCTGTCCCTGAGATTTCCCTACATTTGGGAAATTCGACTGCATAACTTGTGGTAGTGGGGAACTGAGTTCATACTCACCCCTTAAAAAATGAGTAAAATCATTTTAAATATGAAAAATATCCTATATATGTATTTTTATATTGCCAACCCATCATCCCTGTCTGTAAATGAACATCACTGGATTCTTAACTAGACCAGAGCTAAAGCACAAATGTACTTATAAGGAAATCAATGGCCATTTCAATTAATTTGAGGTATTTATGATAGCTCTGGGCATTCAAAATCAAACGCCTCTCTACCCTGACTGATATACAACAACTTAAAAATATAATTATTCATGTCTTGGGCTTTAAAATTTGAAAGAGGATATGTATGCTAAAATACATTACCTAGTTCTCTACTTATTTAGAAAAGAGGTGGTTAATCAATGAGATTGATTAATTACTTAGACTTTTTAATTCATTGGCTCCAAGAACACATTTTTCACTTAACTATAAGAACCTTTGGCCGAAACCGGTTTGGCTCAGTGGTAGAGCGTCAGTCTGTAGACTGAAAGGTCCCAAGTTCGATTCCGGTCAAGGGCATGTACGTTAGTTGTGGGCACATCCCCGGTAGGGGCTGTGCAGGAGGCAGCTGTTCGATGTTTCTCTCTCATCGACGTTTCTAGCTCTCTGTCTCTCTCCCTTCCTCTCTGTAAAAAAAAAAAAATAAAATAAATAAATAAATATATATATATATATACATATATATATATATATATATATTTAAAGAACCTTTGTTTGAATACTAAATAATGTAAGTGTATTTTGAATACTAAATAATGTAAATAACATTTTCTAATTAATCATAAAATTTGACTGGTATAAATGTTATATGTTTAGACTCCTATAAATTTACAGATACTTAAGATGTTGTTTAAGAAGATGATATCTAAATACATTTTGATGTACCTTATAGATTTATCTTATGTGTAGTAATTTGTATATTTCATTGATATGTCATTGAATTTATCAAATATATAAAAGCTATTTAGTCCCTCAATTAATCTATTCACTAAAGCCAATGTACTTATTTAACCACCTTCTAAAGTTGTCACAAATTTAACCAGAAATTACTCATGTATTAAACTAGGGAAAAAATGTATACTAGACCACAAAAAAATTATTTTAATTGATCTTTCAGATTAATATTAATCTTCAATGAGCATATGTTAGGCTGAAATAGGACATACCCCAATCCCTGAATCCTGTGAATATGTTACCTTATAAGGCAAGAGCCTTGCAGGTGGATTAAGTGAAAGATTTTTGATATGGGGGGATTATGGGCCTAAAGTAATCATAAGAAGCCTTACAAAAGGGAAGCAGCAGAGTCAGAGTGAGATAACATGGTGTTGCAATGGAAGCAGAGAGGAAAAGACATCCGATAGTAGAAGCAAAGGGATAGACAACAGAAGTAGACATCAGAGTAACGTGGAGCAACAAATTAAGAAATTCAGATAACTTTTATAAGCAGGAAAAAAAGAAATCAATCTTAGAGGTCCCAGAAAGAACACAGACCTGAGGATAAATTAATTTTAGCCCAATGAATCTGATTTTGGGCTTCTCCCCTCCCAAGTTTCACGCTAATAAATTTGTGATATTTTTAAGCTATCAAATTTATGAATATTTTATAGCAGCAATAGGAACTTAAAACAGAACATAAAATATTTTTATTTGCTAAAATAGCATGCTTTTGCTTCAACTATAAATTAATACACTATGATTATAGTTTCAAAGTAAAAAAAAAAAGGATCCTCTAATTTATTTCATAAAAGTAGTAATACTATTCTAGAAATTTTAATAGTCTTTTAATTTTCCAGTGGGCTATGTTAATTGAATTCACTTTCTTGACACTATTTGAAAGAAAACCTATTGTAGGGAAAATAGTATCAAAAGTGTGTTAATCTGTATTCATTGAATTAACTATATGAATTACTTTTAAACTGGCTTTGGTCCACTTATATTTTTTCTTCCCATTTCAGAAAATAAATACCAGTTTACCTCTACTTACTCTACTTGTACACTAATTTTTAATTATACTTATTAGTTCTTAGGTATTTATATTGAAATGATTTGAGTAGATGTCTAAATTATTTTGACAATAAACGTCAAGCAATTTTTCACTATGGTCCTATAATCTACTTCTTGATTTTTCTCTCCATTCTTTATTAATAACACACTGATTTAAAAATTCCAATTTTATTATGAATATTGATATCCCTAATGCAAATGCTCTAATCCCAATATTTACGTAATGATTTTAAATAATTGCTTAATATTTGTGAAACAACAAGTAAAAAAAAAAAAAAAAAGGCATTTAAACTAAAAACATTGTTTATATTTAATGAATAAAGACTATGTTCAAATAAAAAATGAACCCCTCTATATCTATCAAGCTCTTCTCAGGTGACAAGTATGATCGCTGTAAATAGGTAGGGAAATCTGTGTTCCCAGCTTATCAAATTCACTTACAATAGTTATTAGATGCTTCTCTTATAATTAACTCTAGCAAAATTTTCCTAGTAACAAACAGCCAAGTTTAGATGACATATTTCACTCTGTGAATATATTAGATTTTTTTTAATTGTTCAGGTGACTGATTAATTATATGTTTTTTGGGTTTTTTGTTTTGTTTTTGTTTTGTTTTTAGGGGAAATGTACATTTATTTTTATTTATTTATTTATTTATTTATTTATTTATTTATTTATTTATTTATTTTGTGTGTGTGTGTGTGTGTGTGTGTGTGTGTGTGTGTAAGACAGAGATAGATTTATTTCACAGAATCGTGATGGAGATGTGAGGCTCAGGGGGCATAAAAGGACTATCCTTGGTGTGCATGTGTGTTTCTGATAAAGGCACTAAGTCCAAGAATATGTTTCTGATTGCACATTTCTATGTTACAGAATATTCATATTGCATTGTGTGTCCACCACCAAATTCAAATAATTTTCATTACCATATAGAAATGATACTGCTTTTGTACAAAAATAAACACAAAATGGTCTAAAGACCTGAATATAAGACCTAAAAAAATAAATTACATATAATAAAAAATATACTTATGGACAATACTTATGGACCTTGTTCTTTATGAATTTGATCCCAAAGGCAAGGGAAATAAAGGCACAGATAAATTAATGGACTATATGAAACTAAAAAAGCTTCTGCACAGCAAAATAAACCACTAAAAAAATGAAATAAACAAACAAATAAATAAATAAATAATAAATGTCAACCAGCCAAATGGAAGAAGATATTTGCAAACAACAGCTCATCAAGGGTTTAATATCCAAAATATATAAAGAACTCACACAACGCAACACCAAATAAAAATCCAATGAAAAAATCAAAGAGAATGTGTAGGTTTTTTTTTAAGGCTTTGTTTATTGAGCATAGAAGGAATCCTCACTGATACTTCATCAAGGACACAGAATTTCAAATTAAGGTAATTTTCACTTTTTAGCTTAGAGAAAAAAATGTTATTTTTGTATTTTATATTTTCTTATATCTAAGATGTTGCCCATTTAAAGACATATGCTACACACTGTAGATATTATTCTACAACATTTCCACTCTATGTGGTTGTGAAATTTATAATGATAACTTTATTATCTATTTCATAACTGTATGATTATAACTCAGAATATTTATTGATTTAATATCTCAAGAACATTTTTAATTTTTTTTAATCACCCACACTGATGCAATGGATTTTCTTGTGAATCTGACACCATTGCTCTAGGTACAGAGCCAGGGGTCATGCTGTTCAAAGTGTATGCACAGCTTCAGTTTTACTAGATAGAGGAAAATTCCACCACAAATTGCTTTCCTCATTTACATTCACACCAGCAATGTGTTTGAGTTCCCATTGTTCCAATGACATGCAAGGCTGGTGCCATATGCACTAGGACTTGGGGAGAAATTTATCAATGTCATATAACAAGGTGGATTTATTTTGAAAGAAAAAAATATAGAACATGATGGCTAACAAGGGAATATACAGATTATACCTTTATATTCTTCCCACAGGGAAGTTTCCCAAGGTTAAGGCTAGGATGTTTTATGGGACACACAATGTTCAATAGACAATGTGTGAGCAGTGCCAATTTCAAAGATTATGTGGGTTCAGGAAAATCTGGATTCAGAAAATGTTTCAGTTTCCAATCACCTGGAGGCATGGGGGTCTGCACACTCTTAATAGAAAATGATTTAAGTAGAAAGATTGAGGGTTTTCATTACATACTTAATGAAGAAGATAGGAAGATTGAAACACTTCATAATTTTTGGTAGTTTTTATTTATAATATAGCTTATTGTTCTTTAGTTGAAAATTGTAATTTCAAGTATCTTTTAAAAATGTTTTTTAATGTTTTTAATATGCTATTGAAAATCTTCACATAGGAACTTCTAATTATATAATAGGTTAACTTAATGTATTCACCAAATACTAATTTAATATTTACCATGTTCTAATCACTATACTAAATTTATAATTACAAAGGTAATTTTATTTTCCTTCAAGAAGCTTACAATCTAGTAAGGAAGATTCTGTGTGTGTGTGTGTGTGTGTGTGTGTGTGTGTGTGTGTGTGTGTGATTAAAGAGAGCAGGAGGGAGAAACTGTAGATCAAGCATGTCAAACTTGAGGCCTGCCGGCCACATGCCTTATTTATTTGGCCCAAGTTAGCCTTTGCGTTTGACATGCGTGGTATGGGGAGATACTTTGTGGAGGCAAAAATAAAGTGAGCATTTGAATGAGGTGGATATGAGTTTGGGAGGTATAATGTGTTGATCTTTTTAGAAGATGATTTGGAAGGAAATTGGAGAGAGCACTGAATCAGATTAGGAAGGGTGAATAGGTCACATTAAGAATTTGATGTTTAACTTTAGCAGAAAACCATTCATGGTAAACATTTTTAAAAATGCTGAAAGAAGTTATTAAGCTAGCATGTTTTCAGAGAAGTAATAATGGGTACACTATGGAGAAATCACTGGTGAAAAGACTGCCTCTTTCTTCCTTTAATTGACTATTTTGTGTTATGCATT